AAAACAGGGTCCTTATTCTTGAAAAATATCGCATACATTACGTATATATTTCCCTAGTTCTATATGCGATATTTTTCAAGAATAGAAACTCAGATCTATGTATCTTCATGCACATTTATGCATTAAAATATTTCAACGACAAATAAACCCAAATAAACTGTATAAACTCATCATATTAAAAAATACATAAATTAACCATTTATATATATTTCTTTGCTTATAAATAAACTAATTACAAATAAAAAAATTTATTTATACAATTTACAGTTTTATTTTCCCCTCACAAAAAATACGTTTATACAAATATATAAGTTCAAAATAATCGCTTGGTGTCAAAATGGTGAGTTTGCGGTACTTTATAAATATAATTTTTTATATATAATGATTTTAGATTTTATATTAAAATAAATATTCATAGTTGGTTTTTATATTTAAGACAACGTTTTAAGTACAGTCTTAAAATGTTATCAGAGAGCTGTGATAGTATCTTAAGACATTACTTTATTAAGATGATTTTAAAATAAGAATGCTGTCCTACAATCAGAGATTGAACAGGGTGTCCCTTTTGATTGGTTCGTCATTTTCTACCAATTCGTGTTAGTCAGAGAGCAAGGCAACACAAATTTTTTCTTACTCGTAGGATTTTGCAAGAAAATGAACAACACTCTCTAAATTTTATGAAAGACCCTCTAATCAGAGAATGCAGACCATAAAAGAGACCACTTTGATTGGTTTGACATTTTTTGTAATTCCTGTTAAAACAAGAAAGCATATATCTTTTTCTTTTTTGCACCACTGTAGAGAGTGAGATAGCATATATCTTTTCTCATTCGCAGAATTTTGTTAGAAAATGGATGACACTTTCTTATGGCCAGATTCTCTGATTAGAGGATCTGTAAATTTCATTACAACTCTATATAGATATTACTGCAAACAATTGCCAATTTTTACCCAATCTTAATTCTTATCTCTACTTTTTCGTTATATTTAATAATAAGTATAAAAATCTATATTATATTAAAAGATCGTGTTAAACAATTAATAATTCTGAACGCTCGTTGAACGACAGATTAATTCGGTAAAATATGACGTTCAAGAAGAGGAAATAGCTAATAAGAAAACGCGATGACTGCGTTCAAGAAAAAAGCTGAGCAGTAATCATTGATTCTTTAAATTTTCCTATACTTAAATTCAGTAAAAAATTAAAGACAAGACAAGAACTATATTAAAAAGTTGCTGCAATTTTTCTGTTATTCGCACAAATAAAAATTATATTATTATTGTAATATCTAGAACTTTAATTCTGTATGAAGCGTGTAGAACGTGTCCCAGTCAGAAATGATAATGGAATCGACATCGATTTGATTCCATTATCATTTCTGACTGGGGTGGTACTTTTGTTATCAAAAATTGAAAATAATTTCTTCCATGCATGTGTTGCTGCGTACTAACGCTCATGTACGTCAAGCACGTATCTTTATGGTTACTTTAGAAACTCTTCCTTAATTCTAATCAGAGTCTAGATATGAGCTATGTTTTATGGGAACATTCTGTTTTGCGTTTACAGCGCTCGTAAGCATTATTCGTCCTTGTTTAATATATTTAATGGAGAGTAAAAATAAACTGATGCTTCGTACGAGTGTAAAAACGGAATGCACCCAATATGGTCTCTAGTAATTTTAACAAAATTACACGAGATACAAGGACATACTATTTCTTTCTTTTTCTATTTCTATTTGTATCTTTTTCTTTTCTCTCTCTCTCTCTCTCTCTCTCTCTCTATCTCTATCTCTATCTTTTTATCTTTCAAGAGTTCTTAAAACACCAATCAATAGTAGCTGTTTCATGTTTTGATTCTGATTAGAGATACCCCAATCAAATCATGCTTTTTTCAAATGTGCACGTTTGATGAGCGTGTTAACGCACAGCAATGCATGTATGAAAATCTTTCAAGAATAAAAATTTAATTTTAGTGGTATTACAATTACAATAAAAAAATAATTTCAAAAAATTTGAATAAAATTGATTAGTATTACTTAAAATTTATTTCAAACTATAAAAAAAAATTTGTTCATTATTTTATAATAAACCAATTTGATGTATTAATTAATTAATTTGATATATAAATATATATATATATATATATTTATAGTTATATTATATAAGTCAAGTAAGAGCGTGATCGAGTTCATGTTATTAGCCTTGAGATAGGTTCGAATAGTTTCATATGATATATCTAAACCTTTCTGCTTCAATTTTGCTTGTCCTTGACGCAGTCAAGTTAAGCTAGGATTCCGCGAAAACAGATTCATTATTTTTTTATCGTCTTTTTTTGTCCACTTTACATATCGAGCCACGTTCCGGTAAATCATCGACATTTTTTGCCACATTATGTCGCTGCACTCACTTCTGTACGAATGATTTCGATCTTTTCATATATTTAGTAGCCGCTAATTGTGACATTTTTGGACCTTTCGGGTGAGTGCAGAGAAATACAACGTGAGGAACACGCTTCATAGCGTGATGCGTATTTGGTACTCATGGTGCTTAATGTGATTCTCTTAAGAAAGTTCAATGACAACTGAATCTTCCTTGATAGTGCATCAAGGACAAAGATGCCCTCTATGGATTCATGATAGATTTAGGGCGATATCTTTTATTAGCTTTGAGTAAGGCCGACCACGCTCTTACTTGACTTACTAAATATTCCTATATGTACTAGTTTATCAAAAAAGTTCTAACCTTTGGATTTTTACTGAATTTTTCATAGAAATATATTTTTTATAGAAACAATTTTTACATACAGGTTTATTCAGAAATAGCGATATCATTCCTCAAAAATTCAAAATAAAGAGAAACTATCATGTTTAATAATCACCATTCATTCACCATTATTCTGCTAGCTGCCAATTTGATCACGATATTTCGATTTCTTTACACATGCAAAAAATTTATGACTATCTGAATTTATTCAACAGTTTCGAATTATCGTCTTCATAAGAAATGTTTCATTGAACGAAATAGACTAATCAAATGATGGATAATATAATTAGAACCTATACCGAGTGTGATCTCGAGTCGTCTACAAGTCTAATGGTACCGAGACTAAATCTGGTAACTAGCAAATTTGGTAGCAAATAGTTTTTGAACATAACAATCTTAACCTTAAAGAATAATTGTCATTGTATTTAAAATAATTTGTATGTAAAAACCATTTCTGTATATAGAAATCGAAACATTATTCAGATCTTTCTTGACAACCTGAATGTTTTTCATATTATAATTTTACATAAAATTATTATAAATTATTATAATTCTGTCACTTTAAGTTCATTTCATATAAAAATTATAATCTTAGTGAGACTAAAAAAATGATAATCATAATTATTAGTACAATTATACATAAGTGCTGCAGAATATTGATATTTAAAAATTTAGAAACTATAATTATATTTGCATCACTTTGCCATTCAAAGAAATATACATGGACAACTTTTGTAATTCGAATCATGATTATTAATTTATTTCAAATTGACATAGAGTAGTTTATAATAATAAAATGTGTCATTAAACTCTATTATCAATCTCACACATATGAAACGATGAAATATGTACAAATCATTGATTAAATACAATTGCAAAGTTTTCGTCTGATAAACCAAAATTTGATTCTGAAGATCATTTCAGATATGTCAAACATGATAACACAATTTAAGGTTATTTCTTGTTTTATCCGCAATAAAGCGGTTTCGTTAAAAGTCATTTGTATGGGCATAAGTTAAATGTTTTGCCGTGTTTATTTATTCATTTCTGACGTCGTAAGTCTACTGTGGGTGATAATCCGAAGATAAGTATAGAAACAAAACACGAAAATTAATTATACATACAACCTTCGCGCTGCACGCACGCTTGCACATTATGTTAATTTTTACAAAAAAGTTATTAATTTAGGATTTGTTCACACACACGCGCGCGCGCGCGCACGCGCACGTATAAAATTATTCCGTATTATTTCTCTTTTATGGAAATTAAAGATTTGATGTGATTCGTTTGATAGATTAAGAATCATTTTTACATAACATCGTCTATATCTGTCACAATATAAACTTTTCTTTATTTGATGATCTGAGAAATCAGTTCCAATGTGAATTTGATGTGACTTATTCCATTAAGCGACAAAATCTTGATATACAACTGCATAGGTATACACGTATCTGCCATTATTATGACAGCTGATATATCGTAAAGCAATACAAACACTTAAAATTGATCTATCTTTATTACGTAAGATCGGAACGTCTTGCGTTCGTACATACTTGTGAAAGAAATTACCGTTCCGTCCTGAGCATTAATTAATCACTCTCGCGAGTTATAACGATAGAATTGCCCGAGACACATGTCGCGCTGTGCAACAACTTTTATCAAACTTGTTCTTAACAGTCGTGTATTAATTAATATTTGTCTAAGTTAATCAAACTATGAACAATAAGCCATACTAGCGCGATAAATTAATAACTAATTGCAATTTAATCGACGAACGGATTGCAAACCCGACCGGTCGAGAGTACATCAATTGATAAATTACGCGCGTTAGTATTTTAGCATCAATTTCACCACTCACTCGAAAACTGGACCAGTCGACCCTGGACCAAATCCTGACAAACATGGCTGATAAAATGTCTCCTCACAAATTCCCAGTTCTAATGGTCTTAATATCTTTCCGTTAATTCTTTCGTCTTCTTTTTTCTCTTTTTCCTTTTTGCAGTTTTATGATTGAAACAAAGAATGGCAAATACCGTATAAATCTAGTATCGATGATTACTTGAGAAATTATACATACAGTACTGATCGATTCGCAACCCGCGGACAATATCAATGCGACATTGACACGGAAAATTAATGTTTAAACACATGGAAAGTTCAAACGCGTTAAATCCGCATAAAGGAGAAAAAAGAAATTGAAGAACACGGTCCTTAGAAAGAAAACATAAATCACTCACCGGTATCGTTCTCGTGCCCTTGGGGCTCATCCCCCACATCCTCGGTGGCTGTGGAAAATGCTGCAACAGATAAGGAAAGAGCAGAGTGAGATCAGCCGTTTTACATGTAGGCTGCGTTCGGAAACATCACTCAGGTGTCCTCATGTATCATCTTATCCTTGTTTAACATTGGATGAATAATAAGGATAAAACGATGCACAGGGGCACTCGGGTGATGTTTCCGAACGCAGCCTAGAAAGACGCAGAGGCAGAGAAGATCGAGGGGAAAGTGATTATTAATGCGGGACGCGTCGTAAAGTTACGTGCCCTCAAGGCGATTGCGACCTTCTACGTTGACGGACGGACATTAAACTATAAGCATTAAGTTGCAGCCAGCCCCGCGATAATTAACCCTTTGACTGGTCGGAGTTATTTATGCGTTATGACGTCTGACTGGGTCCGGATAGAAAGATGAATGCAAAATTAGGCTTGTTTGCGTATTTGATTCTTATAACAATCTCAATGCTGTAAGATTATGTACAGTATGTCTCCAAATTACCGGATGCTGTCTCAACGGCAGATCTTCTGGTCAATTTAAAGTCGACTTTTCTTAGCAAACATAATAAGATATCAATTTTATGAGGGATTAAAAGAAATGGATTTTTCGCCAACTAAATTCCTTTGAAAAAAATGAATATGCATACTATTTTCAGATAAAAAATAAATTTAAAAAAATATTTTTGTTCAAGAAAAACTTTTGATCAAGAACTTTATTAAAAGATATCTGTTAGTTTCAAAACGTCTTGTTTAGAATCTACTGTGAGCATTATACGTGTGTGTGTGTGTGTGTGTGTGCGCGCGCGCGTGTGTATGTGTGTGTGTGCGTGCGCGCGCGCGCGCGCGTGCATATATACAATTATACATATGTATATATACATATAATTATATAATTCAATTATTACATAATGTAATTTTATTGTGACTTATTTTAATGCCATAAGATTATCTACAACTAATTATCTACAACTAATTATCGGATGCTGTCTCAACGCAAATCTTCTGGCCAATTTAAAGTCACTTTTCTTAGTGAATACATGTCGAGGCATCAACAATTATAACCAATTACAAGAAATGGGCTTTTTGCTAATTAAATTCCTTTAAGTTTAAGACACCAAATGAAATTAACTTTTCTAATTAAGTAAAATGAAATTAAATAAATAACAATAAATAAAGGGCAAAGTAAGAGTCACATTTCTTTAAAAAAGTCACACAATTAAAAGAATAAATCACATATAGAGAAAAGTAAAATTAAATAAAAATATAAATATGTTATCGTAAATGAATACGAACATTTGCGATAATTAATTTGTACTGCGATTTTTTCGATAAGCTAATGTCTGAAGAGGGCTCAATCCGGTAGCCGAAACTTGTAATTTGTATTTAAACTGAGTTTTTATTATTTTTTATTTTTTATTATATATTTTATTTTATTTTACTTTTCTCTATATGTGATTTATTCTTTTAATTGTGTGACTTTTTTTAAAGAAATGTGCTTACTTTGCCCTTTATTTATTGTTATTTTGTATAGGAAGAGTCCTTCAATCCGTTTAATGAAATTAAGGCAAATAAGAGTGTGATGCAGTTGTTGAAGCGTGATTAAATAATACTGTTGTTTTGTGCAGTATTTTGAATATATATTTCAATACGAATGTTCCGTACGACTCTTTTTTGAATCATCATCAACGATACACAGTTCTTCGATTCTCTTGGCACTTCTCTCATACACTACAGGCAGCCACTAGTGGATTAGATGATTTCAAGTAAGGAATTATACAAGTTTTCATAATCTACCAAGAATATGGTGCAATTTTCACATATATTTCAGAAAATTTGTATAAAAAATACAATTCATATACCTCACTTGGAATTATAATTATCCAATCCACTAGTGCTGTTTATAATTTTTACAACTGTGTTAATATTTGTACTTTAAACAAACTATATATATAAAAGTTGTGTTTAAATATTCTATTTTTATTGAACAACACATTTTTATTCATTTTCTTTGATTATTATATTATTTTTATTATTATAACTTAAAATTCAAAAATAACAAAAATCTAAATTGTCTATAAATATATCTACTTTAAATATTCATAATAATTTATGCAAAGTTTCATTGCGATTCACTGATTAGTTACAAAGATATAGAATAAATAAATATTTTGTTTATTTACAGAACAACTAGTTCATGCATTGCAATATAACTTTACGTAAATAATCTTGAATGCATATAATGTACTTATATTAAAAAGTTGAGATTTTTGTTATTCATTTTATAGTACATTTTTAATAGACCACAGATTAAAAATTATTACTATTTATTAAAATAACTTATAATTTAAACAGTAAATTGTCACCAAATTTGTCATTTTATTTTTAAATATAATTTAGAATAATCTGTAATTTTTTTCAGAACTTTGTTATTAAGTTTAAATAATTCTTAATCGAACGACGAAACAAGGGCAAATGAGAATATAAATTTCATAGTAATTCGTGCGCCAAAGGTTCAATTATATTTAAAGCCTATAATGGTCGAAGCTGGATATTAGATGCTTTAATACTCGTAATTTCTATGTAAATTTATCTACTAAATATGTAGTCATTTGAACTGCGCGTCGAATTGGTTTTTTGGACTTATAAACGCAATTAAACTATTTTAATATCACAAATTAAATTGACAAGCAATTTAATAATTTGATGCTCAATAGGCGTTCTATTAGAAAGATGTTGATATGCTAAAAAATTGTAAATATTGCGAAAAATATTACCTCGGTCGAGAATCGAATTCTGGCGTTTCGTGCAAACATCTCCTAACCTTTAGACTAGATTACCTTAATAATATTCTTCACAATAATCGATATGTAAAACAATAACGCATTTTTCAAGCAGCGCGTATAAACAATAATTAACAATTTATTAAGATCATACAGGATGAGCCATTAGAATCCGGACAATATTAAATTAAAAATTTCCGCCATATTAGAATTCACCCGGAGTCCTTGTTGATTTTTCCCTCGCATGTTTCTTCCTTGCCGTGGAACCTTCTTCGAATTCCTCTGAAGCGCATACTTTCTTGGCAACATTATAGACCATTGATTTCGAATATTCGAAAAACGTTATTATTTCTCTTGATATCCTTTCGGCGCGCAAACTTTCAGGGATCGCTGCCCTTCGCTTATATTCTATGATATTCATAATCGACTTGATTACTTTGAAGTTAGGAATGTTTCATTCACGCATCTGCTTATTTCAATGCAAAGTAGCAGCTACAGCTGCTATAAGTGAATTCCAATATGGCGGAAAATTCAAATTTAATTTTGTCTGGATTCTAATGGTTTACTCTGTATACGTGAATACACAACAAATAAAAGGTTAAAGCCTACAGGCTTATATAAATGATAATTCTTCGATATTTTTTTTCAGAAAAATCAACTTCGGTCAAGTACTTTGTTACAGAAAAAAATTTGATGGTTTTAGGATATCTTGTTTAAAATATATTACATAAGCATAAGAAAAACATATGATTGCGTAATAAGTACAATTCTAGTTTTGATACAATACTGACACATTTCTGTCTGGGCGTTCTATACTCAAAAAACAACAAAATCGCAAAAATTCCGATAATTATATGACATAATATAATTATAATGACAAAAGTTTGTACAACAAATAGTTTTATAAAAGTCATGAGGATAAAAGTATTGTAGTGTCGAAAACTTTATCAAATAAAGATGACAAATGCAATGATGGTTAATAACATTTTATTAGTTATAACAATTTAAGGATATTTTATATATATTTTCAAAACAATAATAAAATTATTAAAAAATTACAGATTATTCTAAATCATATTTAAAAATAATATGGTGACGGTTTACTATCTGGATCTCATAAAGTTACTTAAATAAATAATAACATTTTTTAAATCTGTGCTTCTAATAAAAATATATGGAAATATATTATAAAATAAATCATAAAAATCTCAATTTTTTTTAATGTACATTATGTATTCAAGATTATTCATGTAAATTACATTGCGATGTAAGAACAAGTTGTTCAACTGTAAATAAATAAAATATTTATTTGTTCTATATCTTTGTAACTAATCAATGAATTGCAATAAAACTTTGCACAAATTACTTTGAATATTTAAAGTACTTATAAAAGAAAAATGTAAATTTTTTAATCATTTAAAAAAATTTTCATTTTTAACAATAAAAATAACAAATAAAAAAAACTAAAATGTATTATTAAAAAAAAGTATATTCTTATTCATACAACTTTCATATGTGTATATTTGAAGTTTGTAAATATTACATACTTCCAAATTAATTTAATTTTCTTTGCAGAGACTGTACGTGTGATACATCCTTAATTTTAGTGAAATAACGAAATAATTATAATAAATATAATAAATATAATTATAATAAATAATTATAATCACTATAGAATTCAATAAAATGAATAATAATAATAATAATAATAATAATTGATTATAATTATATTGTTTAATTATATTGTTAAATTTAGATATATCTTATATTTTTTAAATACGTTCTTTGAAATCAATAATTATGGTACAATAATGTACTATGACACACTTTTTCAATAATAATACTTTTTAATAAAACTATTTTACATATACTCGTATATGATTATGTTCTTGTACTTTATTTTATTATATTTACTACAAAAGCTTAACATTATTTTGTTTCATATTTAAATAATTGATTCATACAATTTATTCATTTTTATTTCCAAAACATCATAATATATAGTTACAGTGGTATTTATCTTCAATTTTCTAGTCGCTAATATTTATTTTTCTCTCTGAATGTAACAAAATGTAAGAGAGTAGGAACAATGCCCATCGTGTAAATGACACAATCACATCTTTCAATACAGAACAATTTAATTTATTCATTTACGAGGTACGCATTTTTTTTGCTATTTATTCTCGATTGTTATTTACTCGATAGGCACGAACACGCGTATTGGCACGATCCTACGCGATAAAT